GCACTTTTACTACTCTGTCTTACCTCCAGTGTTTCTTAAAGGTTGCTTTCAAGTTATCTGCATTTTTAGGTTGTCATAGACTGTGATGAGCAAAATAATGCCATTCATAGTGGCAGGCATGTGTCTTTTCCCTGGGACTTCGGTGTCATCATTGCCATTCATTTTATGGCACCACTGGCCCGTTACGTTATTTCTGTTTTCAATAGTTAGTTACTGATTTTCCCGCTGCTGGAGGTGGACCCCAGGGCCTCACGCATGCCAGGCAGGCACTCTGCTACTGTGCTACATCCCCAGCCTGTGATCTTTTAAAGTAGTTTAAAATCGAGAATAAATATTTACCTAGCCGTTTTCCATTTTGTTCAGCTTTTGGAAATCAAGATTACTAATCTTTTTGGTTTCATGACTCCTTTTAATACACTTAAAAATTACTATGGACCTCAAAGAATTTTTGTGGTTCTCTTTGGCTGTTCTGGAGTCTGAACTCAGGGCCTCGCTCTTGCTAGGCAGGCATTTTGCTACTTGAGCCACACCCCCAGCCCTGCGTTGGTTACTTTGAGACAGGATCTCCCCCGCAGGCTGGCCTGGAATGATGTCCTCCCTATTTCAGCCTTCTGCATAGCGGGGGTGATAGCCACGGGTCACCGTGCCTGGCCTCGAAGACCTTTTTAAGATTTTAATCTATTAATATTTATAATTAGAAATTAAAAGTAAGAAAATTTAAAAATATTTTAAAGTAGAAGTAAATTCATTTTCTTTTATATAAATTATTTTTTTAGTGAAATAACTTTTTTTCCAAAACAAAACATGAGAAGATGGTGGTATTTACAGTTCTGTAAGCTTTATTAATACTTGGTTAATGGTGACACAGTTGGGATTGCTTGTCTTTGTTTGTATTTAATCAGTTATAATGTGTATTGTTATTGAAGTTCATGAAGAAAACCTGACTTCACATGCATACTTTAGCTGGAAGAAGGGAGTATTTATCTTTTCAGACAAGCATACATGTCTCTTCAATACTTGAAAGTCATAGTTTCTTAAGAATTAATCCTACATGGGCTGGTGGAGTGGCACAAGTGGTAGAGTATCTGCCTAGTGTGAGACCCTGAGTTCAAACCCCAGTGTTGAAAAAAAAAAAAAAAAAGAATCCTACATATTATGGAATTTGAAACCATCAATTAACTTGCCAAGAATTGAGATATAATTCACATGCCATTAAACGCAATTTGTTTTTGAGATAGGATCACCCTATGTAGTTTAGACTGACCTCGAACTCAGGATCCTCCTGCCCCAGCCTCAGTGCTGGGGTTATGGGTACGCACCACCACACTCGGTATAATTCACCGTTTTTAAGTATGTGACTCGGTGGTTCACCAGACTGTGGAGCCAACACCACTAATGGCAGAGCATGAGGAAACTCCCTTCCCAGCAGCAGTCACTGGCTGTTCCCACTTCCCTCCCTCCAGCTCTTGGCAACTGTGAGTCTGCTTCCTCTCATCATGAGCTTGCCGTTGTGGGCGTTCCATGTGAATGGAGTCATGTAATGTATGAGTGTGACATTCCCAAGGCTCATCTGTGTTGTCATGTGTGTCAGTGGCTCATTCTTTTTATGACCAAATAATATTCCACCAAATGATTTTACTGTGTTTGTCCATTCATCAGTTGATGAACGTTTGTGTTTGTACTTTTTCACGCTTGTGAATAATACTATTTGTGCATAGGTTTTGTGTGGACATACACTTTCATTTTTCTTGTGTATACACGTAGGGTGGAATGTCTGGGTAATGTGGTCACTCTGTATTTAAGTTTTTGTGGAACTACTAAACCATAGTTCCCCATCCTTGCTAACACTTATTTTTCCCTCTTCCTCCATCCCTCCTTCCCTTCCTTTCCTTTCTCTCCAGAGGGTGTAAAGTGATTTGCATTTTCCTAATGACTAATGATATAGGGACTTTTTGTTGTTGGGTTGCTCTTTAATATAGCCTGGGTATTAGATCATTTTTTGTTTCATTCAAATCTAAGTGTGCCTCTTGGGCTGGAGGTGTGACTGAAGTAGTAGAGGGCCTGCCTAACAAACATAAGGCCTTGACTTCAAATCCCTGTGCCATGAAAGATTTACAGTTGTCTCTCTTACCTTCTTCTGGGTCTTTTGCTCACCTGCGGGTTTATAACATTGGTCATGTAGATGTCTCTTGTGAGGCTACCGCCTTTCATGATGTACCATCAACTAGCTGATGTAATCATTGAACTCAGAAGAGCCTTCATGTACTAGGAAGCCATCTAGCTTTTGGTAGATGGAGCCTATGTTCCCAAATTTTCATTTTCTGTCTAGGATTTACATTTTATCATCGGAAACATGGCAGCCAGAAAGCAAAGGTAGACAGATCTTTCCAGGGCCCCATGACCCACTCCATCCAGCCAGGCCCCATACCCAACCATGTTTCCACCACCTCCCAGCCGTGCCGTCACATTATAAAGCCATCAGTGGATTAATCCATCAACAAGGTCAGAGCCCTTAAGATCTGGTCACTTCCCAAAAGCCCATTCACTCCTTCAACACATGAGCCTTCAGGGGACATTTCAGACTCAGACCATAACACTCATGCATGATACGAAAAAAACCTGTACAGTGTTGAGCTTCAATAAGCCTAGTGTGTTTTTTTTTAACTGCTCCCTTGAGAACCTTAAGTGAAATAGGTTTTTTCCCCTTGTATTAAACCTGTGGGTGGTTGGAGGTGGGAGGCCAGTGCCAGCCAGTGCCATCTGGTGATGATCTGATTGTGTGAAAGGCCAGCAGTTCACATTGTAGTCCTGCACTGTCAGATTAGGGGTCTACACTGCAGGAAGGTACAGAGCCTTTGACCTTGTTCAGTTGCTGGAAGTGTCTCAGATTCCCAGGAGCCCCTTTGCCCCTGGAGATCTGGCTGGAAGCATCATTTTTTTTCCCTGCCAACTAATAAGTCCTTGTAGCATTGTATAGACTGTTCTGCCAGTTATAAATTCATGCAGACTTGGCTTTCTTGGAAGACTTTGTTCTGCGTTCTGTTCAGATAGCCTGTGGCTGGACATAGGTCTCAGTGGGCAGTTTCTCTTTGGGTGCATGTGTGGTTCCACTCTGGCCTGCTGCCGGGGTGTTTTTTGTTGCAGGCAGGACTGAGGTGGCAGTTCTTGTCCCACCTCTGTTTAAAAATTCAGTATTAAGTCCACCGAACCCTCAATTATGGCCCCATTCTGCACTCTGAAGACAGGAGGTATCTTTGGGTTTCTTCATCTCACCTTTGGCTCTCCGCTCTGCTCCTCAGACTCCCCTACCCCAAGACTTTCCCTTGTTGCTGAGTTCTCTCTTTCCTTGTCCTGTGGATTTCCAGCTTTAAAATTTTCTGGTTCATGTGATTGATGGGTCAGAGATTCAGGTAAATGTTTAGTTTGCCATGTTTAGTCTCTTTTTCTGATAACTTTTACTTTCCTTTAAAATGACCATCCCATCAAAAATTTGAAATTAATTTACATTCTGGATAGAAGAATGTAATTTTATGTGGTACTTTAAAAAATGTGATTATTTGTTTCAGGCTGCATTTTCTTTTTCTTGATTTGATTTTCCAGAGTACTGTTTTACATGCTAACAATTCTTGGTTGTGGATTTGTCTTTTTTCCCTGGTTTCCAGGGTCTGTGTAATTGGCCTGTGACATGTGTGTCTTCATCAGTTCATTGATGTTTGCATTCATCTATATTGATTTTTCCTTTATCTTAGTTTTGAAAACAAATTTTCTACTTTGTTGCTGTGGTTTGCATGATGAGCTCACTCAGCTGTTTTGATTAATGGTGAGCCTCCATTTTGTACCTTTTTATCTGTTCATAGCTCTGCCACATCTCTCTCTCTCTCTCTCTCTCTCTCTCTCTCTCTTTCTCTCTCTCTCTCTCTCTCTTTTGGCAGTACTGGATTTTGAACTCAGGGGTCTCGAGCTTGCTAAGCAGGTGCTCTATAGCTTGAGCCAGTCCACCATCTCTAAGTACTGATGTGTATTTTTGCCCGTGTCACCATCATCGTCGTCGTTGTCGTCATCATCATTTTTGGGGTTTGAGCTCAGGGCCTCATGCTTGCTAGGCAAGCTCTCTGCCGTTTGAGCTGTGCCCCCAGCCCTTTTTGCTATTACGTTATTTTTGAGATAGGGTCTAGGACTTTTTGCCTAGGGATGACCTCAGATTGTAGTCCTCCTACCTCCACTTGCTTTGTAGCTGGGATTATAGGCATGTACCACCATGCCCTCCTTGTTTGCTGAGACAGGGACTTGCTACCTTTTTTTGCCTGGACTGGCCTGGAACCACAATCCTCCCATCTCTGCCTCCCTCATAACTGGGATTACGGACCTGTGCCACCATGCCCAGCACCTTTTGTTTCTTTGAGACAGGGCCTCACTGTGTAGCACAGGCTGGCCTTGAACTCATGATCCTTTTGCCTCAGCCTCCAGAGTGCTAAGATTATAGGTGTTCACCACTATGCACAGCCTTCATGCTTATGAATGCAATTTTGATGTTTTCTTGAGTTAATAGTTATAGGAGAGAATATTTATATTTCTGATTTTTTAAGGAGATTCACAGCTCAAGTGTTATCTCTGAATTTTACTTGTTACTGACTCTGTGTGATCAGGGGAAGTGCTGGCCTGGAATCAGTTAGGTTCTTTAATGGGGTGTCTAAGCCAAACTCCTCTGTAAGTGCATCTGTCACTGGTGTTGGTGAATGTGTGCTGAGTGCCGGCAATTGTCTGGTGAGTGATTCTGCCGTGTGGTGAAGGACGGCCTCCTGCTGGCATTCAGAAGGCACACTGGCTTGCCACTGATGGCAGGTCTCAGTCTCATGGAGTCCATCTGTTTCTAAGTCTGTGTAATTAGCCTGATGACACCTGCAGCTCAGAGCTAGCAACCCAGCAGGTGAATTGGGGTCTCCAGTGGGCGCCCATGTGGGAGAGCAATGCCTTCATGGTGCCTTTTTCTTCTGCCTTAGGTAAATCTTAAAATGAGAGAGATAACAGAGAAAGAAGTTAAATTAAAACAGCAGTTACTGGAAAGCCCAGCTCATCAAAAGGTAAAGGGGAAATTTAATTTTTCTGGAATGCTTTAAGTTAATGTTTCTAGTTTTAAAGAATTGTATTTGTAACTGCTGCTTGAGGATTCTTTATTATTCATCAAAATAAAACCAGCCCTGTTAGATGTTCTGGATGGGCTGATGCCTCAGTGAGGGTGACCATGGGCGGCCTGTATCCACCTCCCCTGGAAAGGAATTGTGTTGATCTGTAGGAGGCGAGGGTGTGCTTGGAGGAACTGGAAGCTCAGGAGTAAGGGTGCAGGGTCACCTGAGAGTGAGTTTCTGCCTCGTGCTGAAGGCACCCTTGCAGACACCTGAAATGGCCCATGAGGTTCAGTGTGGCGGTGGGTATCTAAAGCCCTGTGCTTGGGAGTCAGGTGGAAAACATGTCTTGGGAAGGATGCAGATGGTGCAGTCCACTTTCCAGGCATCAGTCTCTTCCCCTGACATCGTTTTCCCCTTTGCCAAGCCCTAGTGAAGCTGAAATCCACTCAGTTGTGTGCACAATGCATCCTGACCGTCAGCAAAGTCTTGCCTCTGGGGAGTGAGGTACATTCTCCCCTGTAGCTTCCTCTGCTTCCACTGGCACCCCACACTGGCCAATTCCAGTCAGCTGCATGGGTGGCAAGTCAGGCCTCAGCTGAGGGCCTGCTCAGTCCTTAGGTGGACACACATGGACACAAAGTTAGTCTTCCTGAGTCAGAGCAAACCTCTTACCTGGGTCCCCAGTTCTTCACAAGTTCTGAAGTACTCTTTGGTACTGCAAAGGATAGAGTCGTGGAGGGGAGGGGTCGCCTTCCACTTGAATTGCCTGATGGTGCAGCGTGCCATAGTCACGCGTACTGGAAAGCCTTTGCTTAGCAGAGGCTATCCCTGTCTCTGCTCTGTGAGTGCATATGTCATGGCATTCCCCCTGGACCTACTCTGCTGATGTTCCTTTCCACCTTCCTTCCCGCTTCCTGAGCAGTCTCCCTCCAAGTGGTATTGGAAGTTAGTGCCCGTAAGTGACCAACCACCAGCCACCATTTGCAGAGCCATCCTGTTGCCATCGTGCGCTTCATTGAGACTGCTCGCACCCAACACTGGTTTTGTTTGTTCTGTTTAGATGTCCACTGGGCATTGTTGTTACCCTTGAGCCATGACCTGGCCAGGCTGAGTGGGCTTTGTAATGTGGCACTTTGGAATTCCTTACCTACATTTTGCCCAAGTTGTTAGTGACTTCTCTAAGTGACAGGTATAGTGTATTGGATAGGACACACTCTCCTTTATAATAGACACCAAACAGACTGGTGATCTTGCGGTCCCAGTTGCCCTTTATGCCTTCCTTTCGGCCGTTACTTTGTGGAAAGGCAGTGTTTAACATGACTTTCCCTATTTCCCTTGTGGCTATGAGGTTGGGAAGTGGCTTACCTGGTGAGGGTTCAGAGATGGCGCTTGCTGGTGTTTCCAGTTCTCCTGTTCCTCCTGTGGCCTCTCTGGGCCTGCACAGAGTTGGGAAGGTAATTCACACATTCACAGATGGGTCTGAGTTAGGTCAGCTCAGATGCAGGGTTTCTGAAGTTACAGGTGAATTTTCACATAAAAAGAAAGTTTAAAAAAATAGGGATTTGGTTCAGCAATTCCAGCTGTGCTCCACCTCGTGGCCTATTCTGAAAGTGGAGCCAGCTTGCCACTCCATCCCTATAGGAAATGCCTGGTGCCAAGTGGTACCTTTTCATGTGAACTTTGGGGTACTAGTTTTGTATGTGCTCCTTTGTTTGCTTGGGTCCTATAGCATCATCATTGGCCCAGATTATATGTTGGAGTCCTTTCTAAGGGGATCCTGTGGCCATGGCTGCACATGGGCCCATCTAAACCTTTCTGTACTTTATGCTGACAGGCCACCCTGTTTCTCTCTGGGTGTGCTGGTGAGGATAAAGAGGAATAATGAATATTTACATATCTTACTACCTCGAGTCTTGAACATGATTAAGGCAAGGGCTCACAAACTCAGCTGTCCTGTAGGAAGTATAGTTTCAGGAAATGGGGAAAATGTGACCAAGAACAGTGTCCCTTACAGTTTCTTTCATGAGAGAGTTTGTGACTATCCTATAATGGTTTTCAAATGGCTAAGCAGAAAAAGTGGGTGAGGACTGACAGGTTACAGGTTTTGCCTTAACACTACATGGATGAGCAGGGTAGTCTTGTGAGCCCCCAGAGCCCAGCAGTTCAGGGCCAGCCTGATTGCACCCCACACCATCCACCTTTACTTCACTGCATGACTGCTCGCTCCTGTGTCCACTGCCTCTGGGGAAGCCTGGCCTGGCGCATGCTGGGAGCACTGCATGCTGGGACCCGTGGGCTTTGCACGCGTGGTACAGTAGGAGGCGGGCCATCTGTGCTAGTGTGTGCCGTGGGCTCTGAGAAACAAGTTAAAGTGTGTGTTAGAACTTTTTTACCATAAAATAAACCTTACCACTAAATTCAGAAGGATTTCTGGGCTGAGTAGTAGATGACTTGCCTAGCATACACAAGGCCCTGCACTTGACCCTTAGTACCATAGAACAACTAAAAAGAACTTGTTACATGTGTTTTGCTGTAGGCATCATGATGATTGTACACAGCATACTTGCTGACATACCAGCTTGAAGTTCTAGATTGCTGAGACAATTCTTTCAAGTTGGACTTATCTGCAGATCTCTCAGAAGTCCATAGTTGTTATTGACGGCTGGTTTTCTTCCTCAAGTTTCTGTTGTGTATCTTCCCCCTCTGGAGAAAATGTAACTGGTGGGAACAGTATATTTAAAAATGGTATTGGAGGTGCTGATGCAGAAAACAGTGGTGCACTGCAGGCTTTTAGGAGCAGTGCCCGTGGTGGCCAGCCCTCTCGGTGGCCTGAATGCTTGCACTCGCATAGGCTCCCAGCAGCCCTGGGAGCAGAGCCATGGACCTAGTGTAGCGCAGAATACTGGGGATGTGGCTTCATCTAAGTGCATAAATATGGAAGCCTTGAACAAGTATTTGTTTTATTAGCACTTTACATGGGTTTAGTTTCCTGGTGCTTTGTTGCAGTTCTTAGAGTGGTTTGTGGTTATAGTATGAGAAATTTTGTCTCACTTGGTTTCTGAAGTTTCTCAAACTACATATTAATGCTGTTTTATATTTTTCTTAATGGCCAAGGCTAACACTGGTAATTCTTAGAAAAGTAACTGTAGCGTGGGTCTAGCAAGCATCGGAATGCTCACCATTTAACTTGTTTCTCATTAGTTTTTAGTGTGTTGGCTTTTGGTAGTGTAGGTACGTGTTCTGCCTCCTTCATTGTATGCCTGCGACCAGCATCAGGTTAGAGTTAGACTGATGCTAACTGCTGCTGGTGCGAGCATCATATTGCTGCCACCCAGTGTAGCCATACAACCCAGTTCCCTGGATCTTCATGTATGTGTTCTGGGCAGTCTCAGCTTTTCCAGGTGATCGCAGTTGTCTGTGTATTCTAGGCTCTGTGTGAATTCTTGCTCCAGTAGTGTACCTGTAACATACATGGGGGTGAAGCGACCTCACACACAGAGACCATTTTCCTTTTATCAACTGCAGGTCCGCTATCGGCGAGAGCACCTTTCTGCTAGGCAGTCACCCTACTTCCCGTTGTTGGAGGACTTGATGAGAGACGGCAGTGATGGCGCTGCTCTCTTAGCAGTGGTTCACTATTACTGCCCAGAGCAGATGAAACTGGATGGTGAGTGAAGAACCTTCCCCTGAACAGACCTGGAAGGTGTAATGGAAAGCCACAGTGTGGGTCACTAGTCAAATATTTAATAACAGAAAAGTAACACTGAATCTTAATGTCAGTTGGGGACACTACCATGTGGTTGGAAACGTTGGGGGACTCAGTGAATGTACATAACCTGCATTTTATCTGAGGCAGAAATTGCCCAATGAAAATATTTGGGTAGTGTGTCAAAATATTTGTGACTTAACCTGTGTCTCAGAGTGGGTAGGGTAAACACCAAGAACGTTGTTTAGGGATGCAAAAGTCAATGCCAAATTCAGCTGTGCACAGAGCACTCCTGAATACCTGCCATGGGCTTGACATTGGTGCCATTATGATGCCAGTGCACCTCTCTTTAGGTTCTCAGTAGGGAACCTGCAGTAGGGAGGGTGATAAGTGAAGGACCATGAATGACATGGAGAGAATGCCTGCCCAGGGTGCTGTGGGAACATGACTTCTATAGTGAGGTTTCCTAGGCATCTTCACTGCAGTGTGCAGGTAGATGGTCAGGGTCTGCCCTGACAAGCATCTGAAATGTTGTCTCAGACTTCAGTCCTGAGGGCTTGGGCTGCTAGTGTTCCTACTGCAGGGACAGGTGTTCCAGATAATACAGTTTTAAAAACAGAATAGTCTCCCAGACAGAGCTGCACTTGAAAGACAGTAAGAGCTTGAGGTACCGGGAGGGGCCTCCGTCCGAGGGAAAGCCCATGAGTGGACATGTGGGTGCTCTAGGGCCCGGTGGACCTGAGTCTTCATCTTCATCTGGCCTTGGGCTGCGTGCAGCAAGAGATATGACCAGGACCTTTTGAGGAAATGGCTAGAAAAGCCCTTCCTTCCACCTAAGAAAGTGCTGGAGAGGCTCCTCAAGTGCTTCTGTCTCTAGAGGATAGGAGGGAGTGGGTAAGAGGAAGGCTGAGAGGCACCTCACCCATCTGGGGTGGGGATCCTAGGGAAAGGATAGTGTCAAAATAGTCCAGAAGCCTGGGGTGTATAGCTCAGTGGTAGAGTACTTACCTAGTATGTACTGGATTTGATTCCTAGCCCTGCAAAAGGGAAAGGTGATCTAAGAGTAATGACACTTGTGGCTTTGCAGAAATTCCAACATAACCTGCTGATGGAACACCTCCAAAACCATGCTTTCCATGGAAACGGGCTTCTACAGAGTGGTAGGTGGCACCAAGACACACGTGGAAGAGAACAGAGAATGCTTATAGTGATGAAGGACATAGAAGAGAAGTAGAAACTGTCAGGAAAACAAGATGGGGACAGTGGCATCTCAGTGTTGCTGTCTTTTTCCCTCATCTTCCAGTCCCAGCAGCTTTCTTGGAGTCTCCACCTCCTTCACACTCCCCGCTGCAGGCGTGCTTTCCCAGGTCCACCTGCAGTTTGCTGATTCAGTTCTTCCTTCAGTTGTAGCCTGGCTTTCAGCCTGTCCTCTGTGATCTTAAGGCAGAAAGAGACAGTGGTAAGAAACAAGGTGAACAGCAACTGTGCAGACGCTCACTGAGGCAAGTAGCAGAGCATTGTGATGCATCTGATAAAATGACGCCTACAGGGAGGAGCTGACAGAGCCATACACATAACAGCAGAGAGTGACCAAGGGAAAAAGGCTTGAACACAAAATTAACAGACTTTGTCCAGTGTACCACCCAGTATGGAATATGCTCTTTTAAAAATAAATAATCAGTGCCTGGACACTATTGGCTAACACCTGTAATTGTAGCTACTTGGGAAGCTGAGATCAGGAGAATCACAGTTCGAGGCCAGCCTGGGCACATAGTTCCCAAGACCCCATCTCCAAAATGGATTGGAGGAGTGACTCAAGTGGTAAAGCACCTCCTTTGCAAGTGCAAAGCCCTGAGTTCAAATCCCAGACCTACCAGAAAAACAACAAAAAAAAGGCAAAGCAAAAAGGATCAAAGTACACATGGAAGTATAGCTTCTGACCACCCTCCCCTGAAATTGGGTATTGCTGAGAGACCAGAGATGGTACTTGTAAATTCTTCATGGGTCAGAGAAGACATCAGAGAGGAGTTGCTATATGAGCTCTGCAAGGGCAGCCATTTCTGTGTGATACATCCCAGCCATCAGAAATAACATCTGGGACAAATAGATACTGAACAGACACTTGTTCAACAAGAGAACAACCAACGTGTTAGAACTTGCAGGACATAGCCTGAAGTGAAATGTAGAGGGAGATGTGTTGCCTCAAGAGCATGTGCTAGAAATTAAAGAACGAGTTTCATTGAAGCGCATTAGAAATAGAACATAGTATTCCCAAAGAAAGTTGAAGGAAAGGCCAAGCATGGTGAGGCGTGCCTTTGATCCCAGCTACTCAGGAGGCTAAGGCAAGAGGATCGCAAGTTTGAGGCCAGCCCAGGCAAAGTTAGCAAGAACTTATCTTGCTAACAAAACACAAACTAAAGGGCTGGAGGCATGGCTTAAATGGTAGAGTACTTGCCTAGCACCCTTGAGGCTCTGGGTTTAATCCCCAGTACTGCCTAAAAAAAAAGAAGAGTGGTGTCTGATTGTGTCTCTCATCAATAGTCACACGAAACAAGGACAGTAAGCAACTAAATTGCAAATTCCATGTTGGGTAAAACTAAGATGAACAGCAAATCCACTAACGAGGATGTTAAATAGAAGGGCCAAGGGAGGTCAAGCCAGATAAGCAAGAGGCCACCTGCTGGGGTCCTGGAGCTGCAGAGTGGAAGCACCGCAGACTGTGCAAACGGTGTTCTTAAGAGCCCCCAACCATCCTTCCACTGCAAGAGATGGACAAAACAGCCAGGTGGCCGTAGTCTCAGACCCAGGCAAGGAGCAGGCAGGAAGGAGTGCCAGCGGAATCAGGGACATAGGGCTTCATCTCGTTTACCTGCCCTAGTAAGTAGCCCTACCTTGGCTCCAACAGGCCAGTCTGCCCACAGCTGCTGAGGTTTGGCAGTCCTCTGTGAGGCAGATGGCCCCCTGCCTGGTGACCTGTAGTAATGCCCATTTCCTGATGCCTCCCTCTTAACTACAAATGAGTGGACAAAGACCCCATGACATGTGAGGAAAGCCCCTGACCTGAGCAAGAAGCCACAGAGACAGTGCAGGAGAAGATGCGGTGACAAGAGGGTAGAGAGACCAGAAGCCGAGAACAGGTGGTGGAAGGCAGCGTCACATGGGTATGTCCAGAATTAGCTCCCAAAGAACTCCAGGGAAGGACACATTTGGTCACCAAAATGTAAGAATTCACCTAAAAGCTAGATGACAAAGTTGAAGAAATCTCCCAGAAAGCTTAACAAAAGAAAACTAAAGATAAGGGAAAGGGTAGAAAAATGAGAGATCAGCATGGAAAGAACAGAGAAAACTGGAGGAGTCTGCCATTAAAAAATGGAGAGTGCCTGAAGACAGTCTCATGGACCCCATGTGGTCAACATGAGTTTTGAAGAGCCACAGCAAAACATGCTGAGGAGATTCCAGGTAACTGTGTGGAAAGATAGGACCTAGACCCCTTGCCACCTGAGATAGCTTGAAGCAAGGGGAGGCTCTGCGGAACTGAGTCCTCAGAAATGTACCTTGCTTCAGGGACCAAGGCCCAAGCCAAGAAGGGGCCCTCCCATCTCACAGTGGACAGAGGATGTGAAAACTAGGAAACACAAAGGTTGTTGAAGAATACAGGTAGAGATTCTATGTAGCTCAGCTGTGGAAGTAGTCACACAGCTATGGTAACACAGAAACTTCCCGTGCACTTGGGGTACAGGCACTTAGGGGGAGGCCGAGGCTTTAGCAGTTGTTCACCAGCACAAGAGGTGTGGTCCACCCCTTAGTGCAGAGTGCTCTCAGTGGGGGTGGGCGGGAGGAGTAGGGGGCGGTTGTTGGCCTCAGGCAAAGGGAGGAGTGGGGGGACAGAGAACTCTTTTTATTAAGCTTTTAAAAAAATCTTGTTAAAAATTGTAAAAGTTTTAGATAAATTTGATAGCAAAACAAGGCTGGTAGAGTGGCTCAAGTGGGAGAGCACCTGCCTAGCAAAGGCAGAGCCCTTTGCTGGGCAAACCCCAGCACCACCAAAAAAAAAAAAAGATTAATAAAATAGAAAAATTGTAATATTTTAAAGAAAGAATATATAAAACTAAAAGTTTGCTCTTTTAAAGGATTGATGAAGTAGACAATCTTCTGAAAAGATCAAGAAAAAAGAGTAAAAGTAAAGACTATAGTAAATAAGCTATAAGTACATGTGCAGTAGATACCAAAGAAGAACACTGAGATATTTGAGATGCTAGGTGACATACACAAGAAAAGGTGGAAACCCTGAAGTGGCCTGAAGCTGCAAAGTAAATGGACTTGTGGGCTGACTTTACTGGGGTGTTTTACCAAACTTTCAGGAAATTGTCAATTTCCATATTACATGAACTGTCCCAGAGAGTAGGAAAAAACAGAATGTGTCCTGGTTCTGGCTCTTTGTAAGAAAGGATCATTTCTTGGTACCAGGAATAGATCATGAGAGGACAATTGCAAGCTGGTTTCCTTTTTAATGCAGATTGAAAATGCTGTGTAAAGTATTAGAAGACAAGAATTTAACAATTGAGATGCTGTTCTAACAATCACCTCAAGCAAGGAGTTCTTGGCTTGCTTGTGAATTGATTTAACCTGACAGTGGTTGTTCACCCCAGGCCACTGCAGATTTGGGTCAGAGAGAAGACCAGGAATGATGCCTTGGTGTCCTGACAGAGTGGAGTGGGGCAGGAGGCCGGCGGGAGGAGCCTGCAGCACGGCTACCTGCCTCACAGGCAGCATCCACTCAGTATGTCTGTCTGTCTGCAAAATGCAGGGAGACTGTAGAGAGCCTGTGAATGAAGGCAGCCAAAAGAGTTATAAGAAAAAAAAATGTGCAAATGTAAAAGTATATTAAAAGCTGTAAGAGCCAGGTACAGTGGCTTATGCCTGAAATACCAGCTATTCAGAAGGCAAAGACTGGGAAGATCACATTTCAAGGCCAGCCCAGGCAAAAAGTTAGACCCCATCTCAACAAATAAGCCAGTGGGTGTTTCAAACCTGCTATCCCAGCTATGCAGGAGGCATAGGAAGATCACAGTCTGAGGCCAGCCCAGGCAAAAAGTAGAAGACCCTATTCAAAAAATAATTAAAGCAAACCAGGTGTGTGGTTATGTGGTAGAGCGTTTGCTAAGCAAATACAAGGCTCTTGTCGTTGCCCTTCCCCTCCAGCCCCTTGAAAAATCATAAACTTTTCTACAGTGCTTAGAAGAGACTTAAACATGTGGAGTGTCAGTGTCCTAAAAAAATGTAACGTCTCCAGATTGCTCTGTAAATTTATTGCCAGTCCAGTTAATACTTCGGTTTTCACAGAAATTAGCATGGCAACATAAGAATTCCTGTGGATGTGTAAGGACAAAGGGCAAAGTTTAAACACTGTGTTTTGATGTAGATTCAGTGCACAGCAGAGTCGTTGAGGACTTACTGCATGTGTTGTGGCAGCACTTCCCTGTGGTGGTATTTTCTCATCTGTGTTCCAAGCAGCTTGGGGATCAGAGTTTTCTCTTGGCACCTTAGGCTGGGCTGTCTGTCACTTCTCCATTTCTCACTGACTTCCACCTACCAGAGTTATCACTCACTCCTATTTCCAGACTCACTTCTTGAGGGGAAGCCCCAGCACCACTCCAGTCCCTGCCCAGGGATGTCCTCAGAGTTCATTCTTAGTGTTTCTGGTTGTCAGCTTCCTTCACTTCAGAATCACTTCCCACTGTTTGTCTCTTGACTTGAGGTTTTGGAAGAGTCAGGCCGTTGAGTTGATGCAGTGTCCTTGGGCAGTTGTCTGGTGTCTTCTCGTCACGTGTCTTCCGCAGTGCGTCTGTTCCCACGCACATGATGGCAGTGTATCCTAGTGTCCATGATGCTTGCTGTGCTCACTCGGTGCTGGGTCTCTCCACTTGAAGACAATGACTTTGCTTCATCATTAGTTAATTCCTTTGTGGGGAGAGGTTTTGGATCCCGAGTTCTCATTTCTTTCCAGACCTACCAGAGTTACCACCCACTCATCATTTCCAGCTCCACTTCTTCATGTTCATTAGCTAACATTTTTCTGCCCAGAAGAGTCCCTCTTCTCCCCATTTGTTTATTCATGGGTGAATTGCATCGTTACAACCTCATCAATGTTTACTTTATTCAGTGGGTTATAATCCATTTCTTTCATCATCTGTTTTGTTGCTTAAATTGACCCAAATGTTAGCCGAGTTAATTTTGAAGAATAAGAATGTGGGGTATTTGCTGTATAAATGCCAAGTTTTGTTACCTTTACCTTAGCTTTGGCTCAGGGGTAGTTCATGGTACAGAGGAACTGCACACAGCGCTCAGAGAGGAGACGCTGCATAGGGAGCTAGTGTGATGAGGGGGTCTCACAGCTCAGAGGGCAGAGGGAGCTCTGGCTAGTCACGAGTGGTGACAAACAGCATTGTGTGACCTGGAGACACCCCACTGCACATGAGGCAAAAGCACATTGGACTAAAAGCCTGAAAAACAACATTTAAGATCTTGGAGAAAAAGAATCCTAATTTGTATATACTCCTAAACACTTGAATATGTTTTCCTTTAGAAATAAAGTTTATTTAAAATAAGTTACTTCTCCAACTCCTTGTTTTCCCCTTTGGTGGCGCTGGGGATGGCACCCAGCGCCTTGCGCATGCTGGACAAACTCTGTTCTGTTGAATCACGTCCTAACCCTCTGTTTTTTCCTTTTTGGTGTGGGACTGGTGTTTGAACTCGGGGCTTCATGCTTACAAAGCAGGTGCTCTACAGCTTGAACCAACCCTTCAGTCCATTTTGCTCTGATTATTTTGGAGATGGGGTCTCGTGGACTATTTGCACAGGCTGGCCTCATACTGTAATCCTTCTGATCTCAGCCTCCCAAGTAGCTAGGGTTGCAGGGGTGAGCCACTGGCACCCTTCCTTTTCTTAAAGATGACACATTCACGGGCAAATCAAATATGAGTCCTCAGCACAGTTGCCTCATGACCGTCAGCTCTTCCTCCTGTCGAGCAGCTCCTGCTGAGGAGCTTGGGTGCTGGGAACCCATTTTCAGTGGTCCCAGGAGCTCATTAGCCTGGGGGTTGCTCACTGATTGAGGGTCAGACATCCTAAGTAGCCCTTCTCTTTACCAAGGAGTTTGGTACTGGCATCATCTCTTGATTTGGGGGATTGGTGAGCGTTTTGACATTCGTGATTTTGCGCTTTTTCCCCACCACCACTTTTGCAAACATGGAAATAACCTCACACAGTGGGAACATAAAATGTTTACTAACCATGTGCAGCAAGCTTATTATTAAAAAGCAGTGTTACTGTTCATTTCAGAAGCCCAGTCATACAGTCTCAAGTGATTTCTGTTAACGATGTTTTAATGTTAACCATTAAATTCCGATCGCTTTTTCCTTGAACATTTTCCTTCTACATTTAGTGTCATTGTAAAACTTACTGTATTCTTAAATTTCTTAACATCACACTTAAGTATTATCACTACCTCCCTATAAAATGAGTTTAGTTCAAAACTATGTACACATACACTTTTGAAGAAGTTTGTGTACTAAATTCTAATTGTCTGTATCTTTTAGATATATGTCTGAAGGAGGTGCCATCTATGGCTGATAGCCTGTATAACATCCGGCTTCTGAGGGAGTTCTCCAATGAGCATCTGAACAAGTGCTTCTATCTCACCCTGGAGGACATGCTGTATGCTCCCCTGGTGCTGAAGGTAAGGACGCACCATCAGCCATGCAGTACAGTTTTGAAGCCACACAGGAGTGAGTGTTTATTGTGTCCTGTTTTTGTTTTGCTTTTGTTTTTCTTTTAGCCGAATGTTATGGTTTTTATTGCTGAGCTTTTCTGGTGGTTTGAGAATGTCAAACCAGATTTCGTTCAGCCCAGAGATGTTCAGGAGCTGAAGGATGGTGAGTGAGCACCTCAACACAATTGATTGCAGCTATTTGGGGGAAGCAGCCACCCACCCATCAGGGACCATGGGAGGCACGGGGCAGGGGCTGCATGTTGGTGCCCAAGGCAGACCTATCAGCTGGGTTTACCCTTCTGTCCTTATTTATGGTTGGTGGGCTTTTTTTTTTTTTTTTTTTGTAATTTTGCATAATACTTGTAGAACTTGTTAAATTGGAAACCAATTTTTAGGAGAAATTTGGTTTCAAATAAAAGTTGAGTTATCTTTGTGCTCATAAAAGCTACAGGTTTTTTAAAAGTTCTGTTTCTTGCTAGGGTTGTGATTAACTGTAAATAATCTGAATGTTTCTTTAAAATTGCTGTTTCTGCAGCTAAAACAGTGTTACAGCAGAAAAGCAGCCGACCTCCCGTCCCTATCTCCAATGCGACCAAGCGCAGCTTCCTGGGTAGTCCTGCTGCCATGAGCCCAGCCGACCTGCTGCCACCCACCCAGCTGCCAGCTGAAGGCGGACACCGGTACCACCTCCACGCTGAGGAACCTGAATATCTGTAAGTCTGTCCTTATGCTTTCAGAATTAATTCATCGTGTTACCCTTTTGTTGGTACTTGGGATTTTAATTGAATTAATCTTTTTTAATAGGTAATAGAAAAAGTACAAAAGAGTAACTTGTGCCAGCTCTTCTTCTCTGTCCCTCTGGCTACCTGGTCTCCCCAGAAGTGATGCTGTGAACTTCTTAGGTCAACTGACGCAAATTCTTTAAAGGATATACATCTAATTCTAGTACTTTTGATAGGAGAAATATTTCTTCATTCTCTCCTCACAGTAAATTACACTGTGAAGTAATAGTTTAGATTTGCTTTGCAATATGGTCTGACAGAATATAAAGAGTGAAGTGCTCTGTACTTCACGTACTGTGGTTTGTTCACTCATGGAGATCACCCAGGAGCAGTATTCACTTCATTAATTCCAGGGAGCAATTATATTTGGTTCTGGTGAGGAAAGAATGGAGTCATCCAGACTGATTATTTTCACCATCAAGACCTAGTATTTACTAACTATGTCCGTGGTGGGTTGGTATTTCCAGGTCAGCGGGATTTGGGGTGAAATTGAGGAAACTCTCACTTGGGAGTGAGCATGAGCCTTTTGTTGTAGTCAGGAGGCCTGCCCTTGTCCCTGCCGGTTAGCACAACCACTCTTGTAGGCAGAGGGTGGTTTTTAGTTTTAATTTTATTTACTTAACTTTGCTGGGGATGGAACTCAGGGCTTTGCACATGCTAGGCAAGTGCTCTGCCACTATGCCATATTCTCATCATGGAGGTTATTTTTCATATGAAAAAGTATTTTTAAAATATGCAGATTGAGTTGGAATTCAAGGTTAAAACCGTGAATTTAAAGGCTGGGGTGTGGCTCAAGTGGTAGAGCACCTGATTAGTGAGCTCGAAGCCTTGAGTTCAAAGCCCCGTATTGCAAAAGAGAAAAAAAAAAAAAAAGTGATTTTAAGTAGTGCACATAGTTGAATGATTCCTTGAGAGCATGGTGTAAAGGGCCTTGGTTGTCTCAGGCTGACACTGATAAGTGTTGTTGGAGGGTGACTTGGAGGAAGGAGTGGTCAGAACCTGAGAAACCAGTTCAAGGCAGTGCTGTGGAGGGAGGGGTTTGACGTGTTCAGTGACAGGTCCCTGAGCAGAGGTTGGAAGCATAGCTCAGAGCCCAAGGGCACAGGCAGTGGCTGAGTGGTCCAGCACTTCAGGGCACAGCTGTACAGCCACATGGACCCCTATGTGGGTGCTGGGTCTACAGTCAGATCCAACACGCAACCTGTGTGTGTGCAGTAGTTGATTTTTAAGGACATTTGGTACCACTCACACCTATTGCCTGGTGACCTATTTTTTTTTTTTATTTTACACTACACTGTGAGGTTTTTCCCATTTGTCAGTTTCAGTACCCACAATACCTGTGTAGTGTTTCACATTGGGGCTCTGCTCTGGTTGATTTAACTGCTTCCCAGCAGTGTGTGGGCTGCAGGATTTAAAGCGTCTGCTCTTCGACCAAGCCCTGCCTGCTGAGCTCCTTGGAGCTCCCTGTGTCCTCCATCCTTTCTGTGTAGCTCTCTTTGTGTGTCTTCCCTCTCTTTGTCTCTAATCTCCTCTCCCCCTTTATGTCTTAACTTCTGACTTGATGACCGTTCTTGTCCAAGAGTGGCAGCTACAGCCAGGGTGTTAAGTGTCCCTGTGATTGCCTCCATCCCGCCCATACCTTGTTACTTGTCCCTTGGCCAAGTTCTTCCCAAAGTGAAATAGGCAGAGTAGTCACTGTGAAGTGTGGGCTGCTGGGGGAGCTGGTGCTAGCACTCCGGTGGTCATGGGTGTCACCTGACTGATGCCTTTTCTGTACCTTGTTAGTCTTCACCATGAGTGTGTATCTTCATGCCTGCAGCTCTTCATATGCCTCTGACCATTCTTTCTTTTAAGCTGTAGTCCAAGAAGTAGAAAAGGTGTGAATAATTTCAGAGCTCTTCATAGATGTTGTCCTGTGCATGTCTACACTCCCACTAGCAGTGTGGGAGCATCTCTGCTTCTCCATTTGTGGCTCATCTGCATTTTTAAAGTTGGTTTGATATGGTGGCTTGTTTGTGGTCTATCTGTCTTTTTGTGTGTGTGTGTGTGTGTGTGTGTGTGTGTGTGAGACAGAGAGAGAGAGAGAGAGAGAGAGAGAGAGACTGGGCTTTGAATTTAGGGCTTTGCACTTGCTTTGTGGGTTTTTTTTTGTTTGTTTGTTTGAGACAGGGTCTTGCTATGTAACCTAGCCTGGCCTCAAACTTGCAGTCTTCTGGCTTAGCCTCCTCTGTTCTGGGATTACAGGTGTGCATCACCATACCATCTGTGGTCTTCTTTTCCACCACAGTTCCCTGGGTTTCCTTGAGTCGGTAATGCGTAGTTTTGGAGCCATGTTACTCAGACAGTTGCTTTCATACCTTTGTTTTGCTTCTTTCTGAAGATAACCTCTGTTGCATACCTGATGTTGCTGCTGAAATCGGAAATTGGTTTACGTCACACATTACGGGTATAATAAATGTTCTCTGTTTGCAGCCTTTGGAATTTTTGTCTCAAATTTGAAGTTCTTGGTACTCTTTTAGTTCATTTTTATAGTAATTGATTTCCCCAAAGAAGCTGTAGGTGGTTCACACCTTGGTAGGAGTTCACATTGGTCTCTATTGTTTCATGTGCCTTTGCTTTTGAACTCGAATGAAGTTTGATAAACTTGTGATTTTTCTCTCCAATTCTTTTTCCATTTAGTGGGAAAGGAACTTCCGCCTTCAGCCCATCCCATCCTTTATTGCCACTGAGGCAGAAACAACAGAAAGCTGCCCAAGCGGAGGATACCCCTGGTGAGAGCGTGGCCCCCTTTTTTTCTTCCCTTTTGTTATTTTCCATGGCTTAGTAAAATAATACCTCTCAAAATTGAATTCTGAAAATTGTATTTCAATACAGCATTTTTAGTGAAGACTAGCAGAATAAATTTTAGTTTTTATTGGCCTAGCTTAGAATTTGTAGTTTTATGGTAAAAATGCCATTAAAATCTAGTAAACTCCATGTAACATACACCGAGGTGCTGGGTTGTACCAAGTAATACTCTGCATGATGGAGTTCACATGAGCCTGCTCTCTCGTGTTGTGTTCTGACTACTGTGACACCACTACTGAAAATTGTATTGTTTTGGTTTCAATTATCTGCTTTCTTAGAGCAATTTTGTGACTGAGTTATGATTTGTTTTTCTGGCGAAATAGTTACTACATTGAAAGTACTGCAAGTGGTACAAATTGGTTACTTAACAACCGAACACGGTTATTTCTTCCAAACTGCAGATCAGCGACATCGATCTAATTCTTTAACCCGAGTTGATGGTCAGCCACGAGGTGCAGCAGTAGCATGGCCAGACAAAAAAAACAGGTGAATCATTTTGAAATGGGTGTTTTAGTTGAAAGCAACAATTCTGCAGATGTGTGCCAAGGACCCTGAAGGATCAGTTATTTCACAAGCAGACCAGCATATTACGTCCTTTTACCCTCATGGGCTTTCCCAGCAGCTGCATGACTTGTGGTGTCCCAGCAGGTGGAGTCAGATGTGAGGGTCTCAGCAGACACCAGAGAGACCTGTGAAAGAAAAACTGTGTCACTTCTTAACGATGGACTTTTTGTTTTAGAAAATAGTTATTTTCATGTAATGGGTTTATGACTGTAATTTTTAATGCAGATTTGAAAAATAATTGAGCTTTCATTTCTAGTATTTATATATAGTAAACAAAAGCTCTTTGGGGTCGTCAGCCACTTTTAAGGGTGTATGTAAAGGGGTCCTGGTACCAAAATGTTTGAGAATCACTAAACTAAAATCACCTCTGGTTTTCTTTTGCTCTGGGGAAGGGTTTAAGTGTCCTGCATCTGAGCTTTGTATTCTTTCTTCATCACTAGACCTCCCCTCCCTCAGGCTGTGTTGAAAGTGTCTCCTGTGTATACCACGGCATACCCAATGGGTTTCTCCTCTGTATTTCAGGCCCGTGTCCCAGCCAACACCCTTTACTCTCCATCATGCTGCAAGTTGTGACGTGGACCCTGGCTCCGGTGACAGTATCAGCTTGGCCCGTTCCATCAGCAAAGACAGCTTGGCATCCAACGTTGTCCACCTGACCCCACAGAACCAGCCCCATCCCACAACTGGAAAGACCAATGGGAAAAGCCTCCTAAGCAATGTCAACATTGAGGATGAGGAGGAAGAGCTTATGGCCATCATCAGGACAGATGTGTCTCCCCACTGTGGTGACCCAGAGGTCCCCAGGGCCTCACCTTGGACCCAAGGCCTGATGGCAAGCGCGAGGTCTCCCCAAAGACAGACAGACACCCTGGAGGGTAAGCCTGACAGTTTTTTCTTAGAGCCCCTGATGCCAGCAGTGCTTAGGCCTGCAAAAGAGAAGCAGATTATTACTAAGGAGGATGAACGTGGAGAAGGGAGACCAAGGGGCATCACGTCCAAGAGGGCCAATGAGGGCTCCCAGCCCTCCCTTCGGAGGAGAGTGGCCAGCAGTCATGGCAGTCGTGATTTGAATAGGACTTTCACCCCAATCCCTTGTTCAGAGTTTGCTGCAAGCATTGACCCCACAGAGGCGGGATTGCGGTCAGCAGAAGCTATAGAAGTGGATGGGAGTCCTCTGGTTGCTGGTGGATTCGATCTGTTACCTCAGGGACAGGCTGCTGATGGCTTCTTCCTTCATGTAGGCAGAGCTGATGATGACACAGAGGGGAGATTATATGTTAGTTCGCAGAGCCCCAGCTCTCATGACTCAGAGCCATGGACTATCTTGAGGCAGGATTCTGACTCTGATGTGGTGGATGTAGACGATGCAGAGCAGGATTTCATTGGCGAGGACCATCCTGTGGTTATTCCCAGATATGCTGGTGAGGAAGAATCGGCCAAGCTACAAGAAGATATGAAGGTAAAGGAACACGAAGATAAGGATGATGCCAGTGGACGCTCAAGCCCATGTCTGAGCACAGCCTCTCAACTCAGCAGTATGTCCATGGCGAGTGGCAGTGTGAAGATGACCAGCTTCGCCGAAAGGAAGCTCCAGCGGCTCAACAGCTGTGAGACCAAGTCTAGCACCAGTAGCTCCCAGAAGACCACGCCGGATGCATCCGAGAGCTGCCCAGCCCCTCTGACAACATGGAGGCAAAAGAGAGAGCAAAGTCCTGGCCGGCACAGCAGGGATGCTGCCAGCCTGCTGGCGTCCGAGCTGGTGCAGCTGCACATGCAGCTGGAGGAGAAGCGCAGGGCGATAGAAGCCCAAAAGAAGAAGATGGAGGCCCTGTCGGCACGGCAGCGCCTGAAGCTGGGCAAGGCTGCCTTTCTGCACGTGGTGAAGAAGGGCAAGACTGATGGCACCCCTCAGCCACTGAGGCCTGAGCACTTCACAAAGGAGTATGCACAGCACAATGGGGAGGACTTTGATGACAGTGTTTCTAAAGCTGAAGGATTTCTCATCATGGAAGAGCAGAGAGATCTCAGTGAGCCTCAAGAGGTGGACAGAGAAGGCCTGGCTCTCACCCAGCTTCATAAACCCAAAGACCCAGCTGCTCTGCACGACATAGAGAAGCATAGGGTGATCTCTGCTGCTCTCCTGGAGGACAGTGTCACTGCGGCTGTGGACGTGGATGAGTGCGACCTGTCCATTGAGAAGCTGAATGAGACCATCAGCACACTGCAGCAGGCTATACTGAAGATCTCCCAGCAGCAGGAGCAGCTTCTCCTGAAGCCCCCGACTGTGCCAACGCCAGGCTCTAAAAATAACTCCCAGGATCAAAAAGTGAAGGCCCCAATCCACCTTGTCGAACCACTCTCTCCCACTGGGGTGGCTGGCCACCGCAAACCTCCCCGGTTAGGCCAAGGCCGGAACTCGCGCTCAGGAAGACCAGCTGAGCTGAAGGTTCCAAAAGACAGGCAGCAGGGCTCCTCCCGGAGCAAAACCCCTACACCCAATGTGGAGACCCTCCCCCATCTGCGGTCTTTCCCCCCAAGCAACCACCCACGGACCCCCTCAGACCCAGGTGCGGACAGTGCTGCAGACCCCAGCAGTGACCCCCCTGAGAAGTGTCTCTTTGACAGTTATAGGCTCCATGATGAAAGCAACCAACGGACATTTGTTCTGTCCTCTTCTAAAGATGCTAACATTATATCAGAACAGAAGAACTTCAAGGACGGTTTGGACACTGGTGTGAAAGAGGCAGGGTTGAACTCCTTGGCCATCACAGGAAAAGAGAGCGTCCTGGTGGAAGAGCCACTGAGGAGCAAGGCCAACCTCATTGAAGTGGACCTGTCTGACCTGAAGGCCCCTGATGAGGATGGACAGGTGATGGGCCATGATGGCTCTGCAGAGCTCATTGGGGACAGTGACCAGAAGCCTGGGGTTGGCTTCTTCTTCAAGGTAAGCGAGTTGAGCCCAATGCCAATTAGCTCACACTCCTAACCCTAGCTACTTGCCTTGAGGGTTGAAATCGGGAAGATCGAGGTTTGAGGCCAGCCCAGGCAAACAGTTTGAGAGACCCCACCTCAAGCAATAGCTGGGCACGATGTTGTATGCCTGTCATCCCAAGCTACACAAGAGACCGAGTGGGAGGATTGCTGTTCCAGGTCAGCCTGGGTAAAACAGAAGTTTGTGAGACTTCATCTCAGTGGAAAAAAGCTGCGCGTGGTGTTGTGTGCCTGTCATTCCACCTATGTGGGAGTGTAAATAGGAAGATCTCAGTTAAGGACAGCTTAAGCAAAAAGTAAGACCCCCGTCGTCAAAATTACCAGAGCAAAAAGGCCTGGGATGTGGCTCAAGCAGTAAAGCGCCTGCCTAGCAAGCACAACCCTGAGTCTAAACTTCAGTAATGGGGGGGGGCAAAAAAAAAAAAAGTTGGTAGTGGGTGTGTCAGGTAGTTGTGGGGTGTTGTCACCTCACCTAATTGTGAGGCTATCTCAATAGCTTCACTTTTTGCTGGGCACTGGTGGCTTATGCCTATAATCCTAGCTACTTGGGAGGTTGAGATCAGAAGGATTGAGGTTTGAGGCCATCCTAACAAATAGTTCATGAGACCGTCTCCAAAATAATCAAGAAAAATGGACTGGGTGTGGCTAAAGCAGTAGAGTGACTGCTTTGCAAGCATAAAGCCGTAAATTCAAACCCCAGTCTCACCAAAAAAAAAAAAAAGAACATTTTTGAGCAAATTCCCTAAAGAGTCAAAACCAGGAGGAAATGTGTAGGGAGGCCTCCACACTGAGGTCTCACCTACCAAAGCCAACCACAGGCATCACGGAATAGGACAGCTGGCACAGCCACTGCGGCTTTTCTCGTAAACCTGACATCTGCAGTTCATGTAATTTTCTTGTTCACAAAATGTTTTTGATTGGTAGTTTTCAACCATTTAAAAATATAAAAACTTTGTAGGGTGAAGGTGGCACAAAAATACTTGTGCCAGATGTGGCCTGCCAGGAGCAGTTTGCCAACCCCTCGTGTGGAGAGACTGGGCAAACAGAGAAACTTTAGGAGCAGTTTTTGCTTCTATATCGGACTTTCTTCCTCAGAGTTGAAGAGAGGCATGAGCTGCGGGCTTCTCTTGTGTCCTAATGGTGTCTGCTGTCCTGATCACTGTGCACAAGTTTCAGACTTCACAAGACACCTGCTGTGCTGGTGGCTGTGCTCTTACAATGTAAGCAGTCACCTCGGCTGCTAGCGCAGATTGTGGAAATAGATACGGAGTTTTTTAGGCAAACCACATTTGGAAACTTGGTTGACTGAATGCCTGTCGGATGGCATGGCTTCTTTTCCATTGTGTTACAGTCTATAAAGATATTTTCATTCATTGGCTGAAAACAGGAAAAGTTCTTGGCTATGCTAAGTTATAATTTTCTAAGTTGACATTGACATCTGTGCTGGGTCAGAGGAAGCCTGGGCTGGATAGCTCAGTGGTGTTCCCTGGCTGTTACTGACTACAAAATGACATCTACTTTGTAGGATGAGCAGAAGGCAGAGGATGAGCTTGCCAAGAAGCGGGCAGCCTTCCTCCTGAAGCAGCAGCGCAAGGCTGAGGAGGCTCGTGTTCGCAAGCAGCAGCTGGAGGCTGAAGTGGAGCTCAAACGGGATGAAGCCCGGTAGTCTTCTCTCCTGGTGGCCTCCTTCCATGTCCAGGAGGGTGGCATGAAAGAGCAGGGTGGCATGTCCCAGTTGCAGAAGTGTCCTTTGGCCACCTCTACTCCTCACACCTGCTGTCCCGTCTCATCACACACTAGTCAAGTAGCACAAGTCTGAGGCTGTCATGCCAAGCTTATCCCTTGAGTCATTGTTAATTTTCACAGCAGCCCCATGAGCTGTATTTGTTTTGTTCCCATTGTGATACTGAGGCTGAAGTATGTTGGCCATGGTTGCAGAACTCTCAAGGGAGGCTGAGTTTAACACAGGTGGTTCAATCCAGAGCCTGCTGTGTCCTGACGACCTATGGAAACTCCCTCAGTCCCAGTGGTCTGTGGGGAGAACCCAGGAAAAGTGCCTGGGTTGGGAACTATGGGAGGAGGAGGTGGTAGATTTGTTGTTTGGAAGAGTCCTTCTAACTCAGGTTGTTGTGAACCCGGTTTGCTCTCAGACGGAAAGCTGAAGAAGACCGCATTCGGAAGGAAGAGGAGAAGGCACGGCGAGAGCTCATTAAGCAGGAGTACTTGCGGAGGAAGCAACAACAGATTTTAGAGGAGCAAGGACTTGGCAAACCTAAATCAAAGCCGAAAAAGCCCCGGCCCAAGTCCGTGCATCGAGAAGAGTCATGTAGTGACTCTGGAACCAAGTGTTCCTCCACTCGTAAGCAGCTGTGGCGTGCTTCTTCAACCTCACCTTCACTGGGATGCTGCCCCTGCTTTATATGCTCAGCTTCTTTATCTCATAGCTTTCTGTGGGTGGGAAGGGTGCAGGAGATTATCCCATTGAATAGGTAAGAAAGCTGAGACCCAAGTGTGACGCTCAGATGGTGAGGTGTTCCAGGGGACTGGCTGGGGATGGCTGGGACTGGCACTAGGAAGCCAGGCTTATCTGGGTCAGAGTTGCCAGGACAAGTCTGGTGAAAGCTTTACACACTTTGCCTGTTTCCTGTCCCTGCAGCCGATAACTTGAGTCAGACTCATTCTGGTTCCAGCCTGTCCTTGGCCTCTGCAGCAACAACAGAACCCGAGAGTATTCATTCGGGAGGCACACCTTCTCAACGGTAAGGAGGCCAAGAAACTGGGCACAGTGGGATGTATTTAGAGGAGGAGAGTGAAGCTTCAGGTTAAGAGATGGAAGGAGAGAAGCTTTTTTAACTTCAATTTTGATAAGAGTTTCAAACTTCCAGAAGGAACCCCTAACTGCCCCACAGCCAAGTTCAACAGTGGGCTAAATTTTGTGACATTTGCTATGTCATTTTCTCCCCTTGCCTTTCCCATTCCACAAGTACATCCACATTGCTTAATGGCTTACAAGTGAGAGGTTCTAGCTTACAAGTGAGAGGTTCTAGCCCCTTCTGTTGTGCACGCTAATCTGCCCCTTCAGAGGGCAGCATTTGCCTCCATTAGCCTTTGCCCAAGGGAACAGGGCACATAGTACTACAGGCCATGGATGTCTGCTGGCATAATCACACTTATCAAAGTAGCACTTTTATCTCATCTGAAGTCCATGTCCAGTTGTCATCAGTTGTCCCATAATGTCTTTGACAGCTGTTTTCTCCAGTCTCATCTGTTGAACTGGATAGTTCTTTGCCTTTCTTGACCATGACACTTTTGAGAATACAGACCGGTTGTTTTGTAGCCTGCTTCAGCTGGCTCGCTGTGATTAGATCGCATTACGTGCTCTTGGCTTGTTATGTGCTCTTGGCTGGAATGGTCTGAGCGAGGGTATCTTAGTCTTACTGGAGCAGCAGGTCAGGTGGGCCCAGCACCCATCCTAGTTACTTGACTCATGTAAGCTGTCGTTTGCCACTTTCCCAGAGGCTGTTAAACTTCTGTGATTAGAAATGAATTTTCCAGTGATCTGTTTAGACATCAGTGAACTTTTAGTTAAGGGCTTTAGGAACTGCAGCTGAGCCTTTCATGCCTTGCTACCTCTCGTGTACTATTGGCCTGTTGTAGCCAGGCTTTTCCTTGCCACGTTTCCTGGTACTTACATGTGCCCACCATGCAGCCTGTTTCCTCTGTGACTGGGCTGTTTTTATTGTTGTTTGTTTGTTTGTGCCTTTTCACATGTGTGGTGGCTTCTTGTCTACTGGCTTTGCAGAGGACTCCTCTCAGGGACCTGGATCCTACCTAGAGTTTTGTTGTGGAAATCATTCGCCTAACTGGGTTCTACCCTTAGTCCTGTCTGCCTCCATCGGAGAGGGCAGCCTAGTATCTGAGCAGTTGTCTCGCTTTCTGACCTTGCTGCCTGCTGTGCAAGGTAGGGACTTTCATACAGGTGCAGCCCCAGATCCACCAAGTATCAGAGTGTTTGAGGAGTGAGTTTTAGAGTGGAACACTGTGGCCTCTCCTTCCCTGTGGTCTTGTCCTTAACTGCATGGCAACATAGATGGCCTGAACTTTGGCCTCTGGCTTCTTGAGTCTGCAGTACTATGTGCCCTGCTCCCTTGGACTAAGGCTAATGGAGGCAAACATTGTCCTCTGTAAGGGCAAATCCCCTTCACCTTTCATTGCTCTGTTTGCTTTATGCATTTTGCCTGAGTACATGTGGAGGGTGCCCACCCAAGCCTTCCATCTTCTCTGGAAGGCCAGCTGGAGCTGCTCTTCTCACCCTGATGGTACAGGTGGCCTGTTCTAAGTGACGGGAGCCATAGCTGCTTGCTGGTTGTGGTGGAACTGTGGCCTGTGGCTATACTGTGCCCATCTTCTGTCCTTTTCTGCCCAGAGTTGAATCCTTAGAAGCCTTGCCCATTCTGAGCCGCAACCCAAGCAGGAGCACAGACCGAGACTGGGAAACGGCATCGGCAGCTTCTTCCCTGGCCTCTGTGGCCGAGTACACAGGTGACAGCTACATGCCCTCCTTAGAGGACGTTCTGCACAGAGCCGTGAACTTTGGTGTGGTGCTCTTTAAAATATGTCTTTAATTGGGTCTAACGGTATTTTTCTAGTAAGTGTTTATTTAGTGACAGAGAGCTATGCTGACTGCTGAGTGTCCACGGCGGGTGCACTGTGGAGCTAGAAAGACCTGGCCTCTCCTTGATGTCAGCCCTGTAGGCGGTGGGTGGTGCTGGCTCCTTGTGGCCTTCAGAGTAGGGCTCCCTGGACACTTGACCTTCTTAGACTTTTAAAAGTATTTTCCTGGGGTTGTCATTTTTATAGTAAAGAAATGGAAAGTAGAAAGTGGATAAACAAACTATTAATCACTGTTGTCCTTTGCATTTTTAAAATAATGGGAATTCTCTGGACTAGATTTGAAGTGGTCCTTATTGCCTATTTCAAAAAAGAATGACTGTCTGTGATTACACTTTTCTGTTTCTTGGTTTTGAGAAATTGTTGCCTTTCTTTCGTGTGTGTTTATGCATTAGAACATTAATTTTGCAAATCTTGCCCTGGTTTTCTTAGGTCCTAAGCTCTTTAAGGAGCCCAGTAGCAAATCAAACAAACCGATCATCCATAATGCTGTATCCCACTGCTGTCTGGCTGGAAAAGTGAACGAACCCCACAAGAATTCAATCTTGGAGGCAAGTATCAAACTTCACCACATTTTTTTATGTAGAATGAAAAGTGTCAGAGATTACCAGTTCTCTCTAAAGGAGGCAGTCATTATTATTTGCATAGGGGAAGGTTCTCTTGTGTTATTTTAACTTAGTTGTTCAGTAGCTTCTGGGTCTTTTTCTCCTGATTATAGAGGACAGTGTTCTAAGTTAATGGGCACAGAGTTCCTGTGGGTATGGGGGCTGGGATAGCCCCAGGGAAGAGCAGAATTTTGACAGAAAAGTGTGGCATGGATGCATAGGAACTTAATGGGTCCCTCCACTTGGGACATAGCCAAGACCTAAAGGTAAGGCCTTCCAGCTGGGAGAAAAGACTTGTCCATCCAGGGGTGTGGGCCCATATGGGTCAGAGGTGACAGGAGTGGCAGAGTCTAGGTCCTAATGGCGGGGGGCTCATCCCTCAGGTGGGGAATTCTTTCAGTTTTTTTGGGTTTTTTTGTGGGGCTAGGGGTGAGCTCAGGGCCTTGTGCATACTAGGCAAGTGCTGTACCACTGAGCCAGGCCCCACCAGAGATGAGTCTTTTTGTAAGTGGAGAACAATGGTGGAATATTTTGGCAACTGAGGGCAGTGTGACTGGAGATAGGGGGAGCATGGAGACCCTCCTGTGCTGTTGAAGGTAGGAGGAACAGCGCCAGGGTGGATATGTAGACACCCAGGTTTTGAGTCAGGTGCAATGCTCTTAGTCTTTGTAGTGTTGAGTGTCATCTTCCATGACAGTGGTCTCCCTGCTCTAAATTATACCCTCACAGCACAGGGCCATGTGCTGTTCACTGTCGGGTGCCCTTGATATAAAGTGCAATGGATATGCTGTTCATCCCCTCACCATCTCGGCTGGTGCCATTTCTGTTCCTAGTCAAACACAGTGTTTACGTAGTTGTAATCAGTGCTGTGTATACAGGGTTACATGCTGTTCTCTACTGATCTTTAAAAATATTTAAAATAATAAACCCACATTTTACATTTTTAACATATCTTCTTATTTCTGGCTTTATGGAAGAGAGCTGCTTCTACTCTTAATCTGTCACAACCTCCTGTGTCATGTGGCTTCTGGGAGATCTCCAAGGTAGCTCCCCAAGATAGCAGAGAGCAGAGACTCCCTAGTGCCGCAAGGGGAAGGGCCATGAGCTGAGGTTCCTGCAGACTGCTCAGGATTCCCCGGACCATACTTCAGGAAATGTGCTCATATTTTTAGGCACGAAGAAGACCTGTTTCTAAATATTGATAAAACATTTAGTGGCATGTTTCATAGTTCAGAACGCTGCACAAGAAGCTGTAACAAGCATCAACAGTTGTCATGTTTGCTTCAGGTTCTTTTTGTTGGTAACATCTCTATTGAGATGCTTTCACAGACCACAAAATTGACTCTTTCAAATTCTGTGGGTTTTAGTGCATTTGTAGAATTGTGCACCACTCATCTGCTTGCAGTCTGTCTCTGGTTCTGCCTATTGTGGACTCTTCATATAAAGGGAATCATAGGACGTGTGACCTTTTGTGTCTGGCTTCTGTTTTTGAGATTTAGCAGTGTTGCACTGCGTGTCAGAATGCTGTTCCCTTTTTATGGCTGAATAATAGTCTATTATGTGGACAGACCACATGTTTATGCATTCATCAGTTGATGGATATTTGGGTCGTTTCTGCTGACTATTGTAGATGGTGAGCATGTGTGTTTTCATTTCTCTTGATTACATATAAAGAGAGAAGCTGCTGGGTCGCAAGGTAGCTCTGTGTTTAATAGTGTATGGAGTAGCTGGCCTCTTTCCCACAGCCGTACCATCTTACACCCAGTCCTTACCACCGCTCCTTACTGCCTTCCATTCTAGCCATCCCGATGGGTGTGAGCTGGTGTCTCCTGTGGTTTTGATTTGCTTTTCCCATGACTGGTGATGTGCAGCATCTTCTCATGTGATTCTTCACCTTGTCATAGAAGCATTTTTTTCTATCTTACTTAAATTTCCTAGATAAACTCTCAGTGGTGTATAATGCTCCATTAAGTGGATAAATCGTATTTTCTAAAATAAGGTGGCAGTTGATGTAAGAAAAGAGTTTTCTTACAGGTGGGGCTTACCTGACCATTCGCCTGCCTTAGTGTAGCACCCATTGGTCCACTGTGGAGACTTTGGATCCTAGAAGTGACATTCACATCTCTCGTCTCTTCCTCCCACCCCAACACAGGAGCTGGAGAAGTGTGACGCCAACCACTACATCATACTCTTTCGTGATGCTGGCTGCCAGTTCAGGGCGCTTTATTGCTACTATCCTGACACTGAAGAAATCTACAAACTCACTGGCACGGGGCCAAAGAGCATCACCAAAAAGATGATTGACAAGCTGTATAAATATAGCTCGGACCGAAAACAGTTTAACCAGATCCCAGCCAAGACCATGTCCGTCAGTGTGGATGCACTCACAATCCATAACCACTTGTGGCAACCAAGCGGCCCGGGGTGCCAAAGAAGACTCAGACTCGTAAGTGACCACGACACGGCAGGAGTCTGCGAGGATGTGCCGACGGGATCCGTATTTATTGTTTTCATCCATTTGGGTACGAAGTGTGTGGAGCCACAGACCTTTTATACAGAGGCCCCCTAGACAACACAAGAAGAGCCTTCCTTCCTCCCCGCACACAGGAATGCCGGGCGGGGAGACAGAGGAGTCAATGCCATGGTTTCTGTGGCCTGGCAGCTGTGGTCCTTGCTGTCCACTGAGACCCTCAGATGGGGGATGTCCACAGAGCAAGGTTCCGGGCTGTGCATCTCCCTTACTTGAAGTTCTTCAGAATAATTTAAATGTGATCTACTCACTGGCCTCTCCCCTCACCCCCTTTGCACATTGCCTGATGCCCCACAGTGGGCAGCTGTAATCTTTTGTGATTATAGGGCCGAGGCTTACTCTCGGGTCAGGGTGTTTGAATGTCTTCATAAAAGGAGCTCATATGGGAAATCTTTTTCATTTGAGAAACTGTATGATATTTATTGACTGTGTCTACTGCCAACCTTTATATCCAGTTCTAAGATTTCTGAAAAAAAAAAAAAAAAAATCCTTGTTTCTTGCTGCTCAGAAAAAGTTTACTGAAAATACCAGTTCACTAAAAGCACTGAAATTGGCAAAGTCTGTCTTCTGCTAAAATGACGTTTACAAATATAGAGATGATTATTTCTGACATGCAATCGTGAGGGTGGTGACCTGGGTACGACTAGCTGGTGCTGGCCACACTTAGCATAGGTGCCAGGCCAGCCATGGCCACCACTGATTGATTGGAATTTTGGCTTAGTGCGTCGACGATTTGCTCACTTTAATAAAGACAGATTTTGGTACAGTAGTGGACTTTCCCTCTGAGCATGTTTCTCTCAAGAGGTGCTGCACTTGGGCTGACAGTTCCTTTGTGGTGTGTGACGTCCTGACTTGCCTGTCTCAGTTCTTGCTTCTGGAGGAGCAGCATGCTCTGTGGGGTGTGCAGTCTCAGGTGAGGTTGGTCGTTTTGTTTTGTTGCCGCTTTAAAAAAAATTAGGTGGTTATATGCAATTATTTCAGAACTCCAAGCAAGTAAAAGGTGTTGGGCTCTTTCCATGTTGGTCCCAGCAGTAGCTGGCGCTACTCCAGAGCAGATGTTCCTAGGGAGCAGGTCCATCCTGGCCTCAGCCGTGCTGGAGACGCCTGTGTGATGGCCCAGCTGTTGGAAGATTGTGGAACCACTTACCTTAGTTTCGCACATATCTTCTTTGGAGTATTACTTGAATCTATTTTGAATTGCAGAAAAAATTGACAACAATAGAAAAAGTGTAATTGCCAATAATATTATGTAGACAGAAAGGTGAGTTGTGTACAAAGGAAAGAAGGAACATGGTACAAAAACACTACAGGGAAGCCAAGGTCTTACTTTGGCTTCTTCCTTCATTGCGACTTTGTATATATCGTGTTAGGCATTACAGGCGCTGTGCTGTAAATAAGTAAGGCTGTACAACTCCTCCAGTGCTGAGCATTAAAGTCGTGGCTGTGTCACCACACTTTCCATACGTGTGCTTCATTCTCACTGTGCGCTTGGTGTCCTATGACCCTATTTATTTGTTTTGAGAAAGCACTAAAATGTAATAAAGTAATCAGCTGGTTTGTTTTCTATTAATCATATGTGTCAAATTGTTATAACTCATTCTGCCAATGAGTGTCACCCAGCTCCTGGATTTGAGGCAGCTGCACCTGGCTTTTCTTTATTTATTTTTTTCTTTAGGAGAGGGTCTTTCTATGTATCACAGGCTGGCCTTGAACTCATGATCCTCCTGCCTCAGTCTCCAAGTGCTAGGATTACAGGCATGTGTCATCACTCCCAGCTCTGCACATGGTTTTTATCTTACCTAGTCCTAGTGAAGTCAGTGGAATATGATTGTTTTTATTTTATTTTATATTATATTATTGCTGTACTGGGGACAATATTGGTACATTTACAAAAGTGCTTGCAGTACATCTTAGTTAGATTCATGCCCTCCATTATTCTCCTTTATTCCCCCAATGCTGTTCTTAGAATAGTTTCAGCAGGTCTCATTTTTCCATTTTTTAATTGTTTTAATGAAAAGTTAAGACTGTTTTCTGACAAAGAGCTAGAAGTTGCATTCCTACCTAACTTCTGATGCAGTGAGCTGCCACGTGGCCAGTCCTGAAAACTTTTAGCGTACAGGACTCGGCAGTGCTGTCAGAACACCATTGAGTCTGGACTCATTGCTGGGGGCTGAGGGGCACTCCCTGCCTTCTTTGGCACGGCAGCCATTTTTTATTATCAGCGGAAGTTTCAGGCACAAGACTCCATTTTGTGGCAGACTTTCTGGCTGGCATGCTGGTGAGGTTGTTACTTCTGTGTCTTGCCTGTCTTTATGAGCATTACGCCTTTTCCAGGCTCTTCCATGTGCTGAGCGGTGTTGTGGATTTCCTGTAGTGGGAAGGCTGTTTATCATCAGCCGTGCCACCCTTTTAGGATGTGACTTTGCCCAGGCAGTGTCAACCAAAGGACTCCATGTGTGATGACTTCCCTGTGAAAATCCTCAGCAGGCAGATTCTAAGGAGCCCAGGATCTTTTTTCAGATAAAAGAAGTTTTACAAATATATATGCAGACGTGGCGTTAATGTCCACACATATGCACACATGTACAGATACAGGTGCACACATGGGTGGGTGTGTTGCCTATGTGGAGATGTGAGGGGGAGTGTATAGGTGTGTGTGTGTGTGTGCATGGATGGGATTCTGCTTGCGTAGGTTGTGTGTGTGCAGACGTGAGGGTGTGTAGACGTGAGCGTGTGTGCATTTGCACGGAAGGCAGGGTGTCCCACTATGTCTTTGTGACTGATGTTCTAACCAGGTTACTGCAGCACAGTCTGTGATTAGATTTTTCAGGCCCAAAGTACATTCTTCACTCAGGCAATATTGACAAGTGGAATAATATAAAAGTTACTTCTGGATTGTTCTTTGATTACCTGAAAACGGTGGTGGTTATTTGGAGGAGAAAGTATTGAAATAAAATGTTGTGAATGTCGATCAACCTGGAGAACTTTACAGATTAATTCTGTATTTACTTTGTGAAACGGGTTTGACCTGTGTAGGATGACACTGACCTTATTAAAGCTTTTTCGTTTCATAGCCATCAAGGAACAATGCTGTCCCTGCCCTGTGGCTGGAGCCAAGTCGCCAGCACTGACCAGAAGTGCTGTCTCCAGAATCGCACTCTTTGGCTTCTCACCATTTTTTTCCTAGAGAGCGTGGCAGGTGCCTCACCAGCTGAGAGGCCTTTTCTGATGTCTGAGGTGGAAGTGTGGAAGGGGCCTCATGCTGCAGAACTGTCTCTGGCTGTCAGTTTGTCTTATGTGAAGGTCTGGGCCGTGGGCATTGTTGGCAATTTCAGAGGGCAGAAGCTGGCCTGACCAGAGACTTGGGTTCCCCAGAGTATTTTAGTACACAGTCGCTTGCTGTCATGCCCTTTCTCATGACTTCACTGGTAAAGGATGTTTTGGCTACAGAAATCAATGTCCTCCCCCACCTGCCACCCAGAGAGGGACAGCCTCCAGCAGCAAAGGTCTCAGTGAGCACCTCATGTTCTCTGTCCTTTAGAAAGCAAGTTAGTTTCCCCGAGTTGTTCCCTGAGTAGCAAAGGAGGTGTTTAGCTCAAGTCACAAGTGCTGGGGCCGAGTAACTAAGCAGAGAACATAGACTCAGTACTCCCCACGGCCAGGCCCAGGCTGGAATCCCTGAATGATTTGTTTTAGGGTGAGCATTTCTTTCCAGTGAAAACTGGGTTGCCTCTGGCACAAAAGCAGCAGCAGTACAGAAACCATGTTTCCGTGGCAATGAAGTGTAGCCCAGCTCTCTGAAGGCCAGCACCAGTGATTCTTAGTTGAACTGATAAAGCTCTCACCTGTGTTTTCAAGAAACAACTTAGTTTTTGTATTTTTATTCCAGTTGATGTTCTTGTTTTTATTACAAGACTTCTCATTCTTTTTAAATGGAAGTAGAACATACCTACAGAAAAGCACACAGCCCTCATGTGCAGCTCAGTGGGTGTTCACAGAGGACTTGTTCCACTTTTTACTTTTATTTATTTTATTTGGCAGTAGTGGGGTTTGAACTCAGGGCTTCGTGCTCGCTGGCAGGTGCTCTGCCACTTGAGCCACGCCTCCAGCCCTTTTTGCTCTTGCTGTTTTGGAGCTAGGGTGTGATGTTTGCCCAGGCTGGCCTGGACCAGATCCTCCTGTTTTTCATGTCCCACCATCACTGGGATGACAGGTGCACACTGCCACACCCATTCTGTTGACATTGGGTGGAGTGAGCTTTCTCTCACTCCGGGTTATTACCGAACCTAACTGGGGGCAACGAGAGATGCAGAAAGGACACAGGATAGACAGACAGACAGATAGTGGGATCAGGTGTGTTGGGCGTTGGGTAGAGATGCACAACAGCCTCATTGCTTCTTATCTCTGTTACTCTCTTTACTCTGCTTTTCTCTGTCTTTTCTTTAAGGCCTTACTCCTTTACAATTCTTTAAAACCATGCTTCTAAAGTCTTCCGTTCTTTAAAGTCCCTTTCCTGAGACTCGCTCTGTCCCGTGCTTTCTCTTAGCTGTTCTATAGCATAATCTCTCTTACAGTCTTTGCCCTCAGACTCACACTGTCCCATGTTCTCTTTAGCTTTAGCAGTTCCCCTTCAGCAATTCATTTTCCCCCTGCAGCAATCTCCCTCCAGCAGTTTCCCTTCAGCCAAAAACCCCCTTCATCCAAAAAGCCTCATGTCCTCCTTCAGCGGTGTTCCAGGGAAAGGCGGGACATTGTAACAGGAGAGACCTGCATTCCTGCTTCTCCAAGTGCAAACATCTTAGGAAAAGCAGCTGCTCTGCATCTTACAACTGTGGTTATGCCCTCATTGGCTTCTCTTACTCCGCTCTCCACAATTGGGTCTCACACACTGGCTTACCCGTGCTGGATTTGGGACTGGAATCCTCCCAATCTCAGCCTCCACATAGCATAGCTTGGGACGACAGACACACATCACTGCACACAGCTTGTTCCACTTTCTGAATGAGCACAGTTCCCTAGGTTTGTCACCGATTTCCCTTTGAGTCTTTTGCTCTAAATTCTATTTAGAATTAACTATTTTATCCGGTCTTAGTAGGTAAGCAGCTGCCAGTCCAGGCTGGCCTGCTGAGTAACCATTGCTGCAGTTTTGGGGTTGCGATGTGATGTGTGTGTGTTGGCATTGCTATTTCATGACGACATTATTTAGGCTGCTGGAGTGACCCACTTGGTGGAGAACCTGCCTAACGAGTGCAAGGCCCTTAGTTCAACCCCCAGTACTGCAAAAACAAAACCCAACAAACTTTATAAGGACATTATTTTAAAGCTATTTTTATATGTATTTCTTCAAATTAAATTCTTGCTCAGCTCACAGTGCCTCTTGTTTCCTGCTTGGTGAGTTTCTCGGCCCAGGAGAGCATAAACTCGTAGGTGCCTTTTGCTGCCTAACAGCATGGGCTCTGTCCCGCACAGGCTTGCGGTTCTGAGTTTGGCTTGGGTGAGGACGAGTTTGCTCTTGCTCTTGGGTTGCACGTGAAGTACAGTGTGTAAAGGGGCAAAGCGGACAAAGTAGAACAGAGGTGTGAGTAGGCAGGTGAGGAGGTCTGGGGCACACGTCAGCTAGATTCTCCATATGGGACAGTGGGGACATCTCTCTGTCACTTGTTACTGAACCTTGGACCACTGATTGTGGGTGCTGGGTGGACATTCGGTAAAGCTGAGTTAAAACTTCCTGTTGCGTTGAGGTCAAGGATACCGCGCTGTTGTCCCCAGGTCCAGTGTGTGTCAGCAGGGTTGTGTGTGTTTGAATGCCACGGCAAGCAGAGGTGGGGGTCGGGAGGCGGAAGGGAGGTGGTGACACTGGGCTCCTGGGGTCAGAGCAGCCTCACTGCCTGGCGTGATTGGACCTGGTTGACCGTGGCTGGGCAGGGGCCTGAGCAGAGTCTCCCAGGGGCTGAATTTAGGAGGGCAGTGTGAACCCAGGC